CTCGGTTCTACCCAACCCTCAAGACAATGACTTAAGCCACGCCTCTGTGGTACCTATCAGATCAACCTAGCTAACAAGTGGCCTGTCACTCAAGGTGAACGGCCTTGACCAGTGCTTGGACAACTTAATTGGCAAACACCTGTTCTCTTGAGAATTTCACTGACGTGTTAAACTTCAACCTCTCGTCGCCATAACGTCTACCAGTCCACCCAATTCCCCTGATCTAGTCTCATCAAAAGAAGCCCAACTAAGTCTGTGTTAGGTAACTTTTACGACCTACGGTCCAGCTCAGGGAAGCTAATCTCAGGTGTGATACTAAGTTCCCCGTTCGCTGGCCCTTACAGACTGGTCAGGAGATAACATTTATGACATGGGCATGTGAAAGGAAATTCTCTAGCCCTGGTGTAAAGTTTTAGGTAATATTACCCAAGGTTGGGTCGCTTTGTCTGGACTAAGGACTGGACACATTTTAAATCCATTTGGTTTAAAGTAATATCAATAACCAGAAGAAACTTATTACGAGTACTAAATTCTGGAACCACTGAGGTCGTCTCGTGACACCTTTGACCACGTATACTGTTCTTATTTCACTTTTCGTCAGCGATCTGTATATGTATATATATATATATATATATATATATATATATATATATATGTATATATATATATATAATATCTATAATATATATATATATATATATATATATATATATATACACACACACACACATATGGGTAAGCATCTGTCTATTGAATTTAGAGAATTATTATCCGTCCCCGTGTAAGAACGCAAATTGTAGTTATTTTAAAGCCCTGGCTGTTGTCGGGATCCCTAATATAACCCAAAACTATGGGTTGAACGGAGTTTTTGGAACCTGTCCTCGGGTGATCTTTATCCGAATGGTGGCACTTTGTGTCACCAGGTGTTTTTCGCTTGTTGTGATGTCCTGGTGGGGTGAAGCCTTAGTCAGTCTACTGAATCTTCCTGGACCTCCACACTGGCGACCCAGATAAGTATCATCTATTTTGTATAAGCTTGTAGTTTATTAGTTATTTCATCATTGTCGTGGACACAATACGCTAAAGTAGTCATATCAAGGTTAGTGTATTTGTGTGTGTGTGTGTGTGTGTGTGTACTGTGTTGTCTTTGTTTGCTGTAGAAGGCTAATAACCGCAACGTCCTTTGTTTGTTTAGTGTAATTTATTTAGTAAAGCTGACGTAAACTATTGTTTCTTACTTTTTCCTTCTCGTCCCTATAATTTCCTACCCTTTATTTTTATTTTACGTGAAGAAAAAAATGTTGCGGAATACGAGGTTTGGAGAAAAGGGAGATGTTTCTTTTTGGGTGTTTTTTAACTCTCGTTTTGTCTGTAGTGTCGGCTCTGTGGCTAAGTCGATGCTAACGCTTTGTAATGCCAGGGTGCCGGGTTCAATCCCAGCTGCGGGCCATGCACCTTGCGTTGGTTTCGACAAGTGGTGTCAGGGAGCCAACCGTCCAGAAGCACATGCCAAACTACTGGACGTAAATTTGCCTAGAGAAACCACACAACAGCCAGGGGCTATTCTGCAACGTCCTGTAAAGGTTACACAAGTAACCTTTGNTTTAGAAGTGAGCTGGTGTGTATTTGGGTGGGGCGTAGGGAGACCAACGTTACTTTTACCCGTAATAGTCCCAGCTATTTCGCATTTTTACATAACGTACTTTGGACCACCCTTTATAGTTGTAAAATTCTGAGTATTTTCCTTTGCTAAAAGTGTTCAAAACAGTTTTTTTGGATTTGGATAAATCCGAAATTGTAAAGATATTTCGCTTGTGACCATAGTGATCTTATGGATGTCTTCCTGTGTTGAGAGCAGGTTAATAGTATAACACTGATGTGGATAAATTGGTGGATAAAGTCTGACAATGTGTCTAACAAAATGTGTTGTAGTGCGGTTCAGTTGTGGGGGGGGGGGGGGGGTGTATTGGTGGATAGGGGGCGGTGTGTGGAAGTAACAGATTTCACTGAACATTGAACTCAGTGCTCTCTGCAGATTGTTGTAGGAAGGAGGGAGGGGTATTATGGGTTGATGTGGAGGAACTTCCATGCTTTTGAACTCAAGTGCTCAACGGTAAGGATTGTTGTGTGATGTGGGGAGTGAAGCGCAAGTGGGTAGAACCGAACTTTTGGGTTTTCAAATAATATTTGTTGTTGGAGGGATTTTAAAGGGGCAAGGGGGCGGGGGGGGGGGGGGGGTGCAAATTGAACCATTAGTGCAAAATGAAGACTGTTGGAGGAGGAGGGGATGCCGGGGGAGGGGGATGGGTGGGAATAAGACTAATCTGTTTTAATCCGGTTCACTTCTGATGGTCGTTAGTCTTCACCATTGTCTTGGTTGCCATGTGGGATTCCATGGCCAGTCAGCAAGTTAGTCGGGGGATCTGCCTCGCATCACCAGCCAACACCACCTCTCCAACGGGGAGGGAAAGGGGGAGGGGGTAAAGGTTGGGTTCAGGTCATGTCCATGTGTTTACCCTACTCGTTTTATGACAGTTTTGTAATGTGTCCCAATGTTCTTACACTATGTTTGATGGGAACAAATAACGAACCCAGGCCCAGCTCGGCCCAGCTACACACATATGAATGACAAAGTCGGGCAAGGACACTGTGATTGGACGTTCATTCATGCGTCTTAACCTTTGAGACGCCTGAGTTCAAGCGGTAGGGATGTCAGGTTGGTGCGACGTTTTATTGTCTCGATTGTTTTACGGGATACCATGCGTGTTGTATATTACAGGATGTAAGACTGTCCCTAAAACCAACCCCCTAACCCAGACACTAAACCTAGTTTATACCCCTCTAACGTAGACCAGCTTGAACAAGCATCAATGAAAGGTCATCTAGTGCGAAGCTGGGCCTAAGTTCGATACATGTTTTTTTTTTTTTTTAAAGGAATATGAGGAAAGTTGAGAAAGTGGCTCGGGGGATACGGTGAAGAGGAAAGGACCGCAGCGAATCGACAGGGATGGGCTCAGGATCACAGCAAAGAGCAAGAGGTGGCTGTGATTCGACAGGACTGCCTCTTAGACACAGCGAAGACGAATAGACGCCTGTAAATGGACAGGGATTGCTCCAGTGGACATTACCTGTTTGACAAGTTTCGCCGGTGTATCCAGGCTTGCACCCATTAAGACATAATCCTGTGAAGAGGTTACATCCTCTAGCAGAGGAAGTGCCCGTCTGTTGGCAGTTGCTGCTGCACACGGACGTACAGTTGTTTCCGTACTTCTCCGGCAGGCAGGCTGAAACAGTTCCATCTGTATGAATAATCTGTCTTCCAATAAGTAGCTTCACCAGTACTATTACAATTATTCATCATATATTTATAACTGCCATCGCTGTCGTCATCAACTTTATGTTCAGCATTATCATTATCATCATTAGCTTGATTCATCAGGTTTGTCATGCGGCGGTAAGAGCCCCGGGTGCATTTAGAGGTAATAACTAAATATTCGACAGCGGTGGAGACACAGTGCATTGGTCAGATCCAGCTTCTGCCTGAATGAGGTACCAGGTAAAGTCATGGGAAATAAAGAAGGTCATTTTGATGTTGACTACCCCGTCATGGAATAGGGATTGGTCTTTAAAATGTAGACTAGCACTATAAGCCAAGTGCGCCTGGTGCTTTTATTAATTTTTTAGACCCCTTTCTCAACACATACTCTTTAAAATAAAAATGTGTAAAAATGCATTTAGCATGAGGCTGTGACTGATTCGAATCACTTCCAATTAGAGCCAAATTTATCCTAGAACTCAGATGTGCAGAACTGCTTAGAGCAAAGTCTCAGACTTTCCAACTCTGGACGCTACCATCCCAACGGGGGTGCTAGGGGTGATAGGGCGGGGGAGAGGGCGCGGTCATTTTAGGGGCTACATTTAGGGCGCTACATTCTGAAATATGGTCCTGAGGCACGACCTGATGGGGGAGGGAAGGAGGGGGGTGGGATGGGTAGTTCGACTGAAGTGGTAGCAGCCTTATTAAGTGTTTTTAAGTTTTTCTCAGAATAAGCGCTACCGTACATTTGGGGCTGCTGGGGGCAGCTGAGGGGCGGCATCCTTATCAGTCAAATTTGAGCGGTAGTGAACGTTGTCTGTGCCTTTTACCATTGTTTCACTACGACTTGTGTTATTTCTCCCCTCCGACCAATTATACTGTTCTAATTTCACTTTCCGTCAGCGATCTGGATATATATATATGTGTGTGTTTTGTGTGTGTGTTTGAACTGTGTTGTCTTTGTTTGCGGAGGAAGGCTAATGACCGCAACGTCCTTTGTTTGCTCAGTGTAATTGATTCAGTAAAGCTGACGTAAACTATTACTTTTTCCTTCTCATCTCTATCATTTCCTACCCTTTTTTTTTTAAAAAAAGGTTTGTTGGAGAAGTTGAGATGTTTCTTTTCGGATGTTTTTAACTCTCGTTTTGTCTGTAGTGTCGGCTCTGTGGCTAAGTCGATGCGAACGCTTCGTAATGCCGGGGTGCCGAGTTCGATCCCAGCCGCGGGCCGTGCGCCTTGCGTTGGTTTCGACAAGTGGTATCAGGGGCCCACCGTCCAGGAAGCAATGGCAAACTACTGGACGTAAATTTGCTTATAGAAACCACACAACAGCCAGGGGCTGTTCTGCAACGTCCTGTATAGGATACGCAACTAACCTTTGTCTGTAGTGGATTTCCAATTTTCACTTACACAAGTTAAAATTCAAATAACTTAGAAGTGAAACTACGTATATTATCTTTAACCCCCTCCCCCGCCAATCCCTCCCCCCCCCCCCCCCTCCCCCCCCCCCCCCCCCCCCAATAGACTGAAAGTACTCCAGTGACTCAATTAAAAACCTGTACCTGTTTGACACGTTTGACCTGTGTATCCGGGGCGGCAGCCACCCAGACATCTGCCAGTGATGAAGTCACACTGTCGAGCAGACGAACTTCCTGTCTGCTGGCAGTGGCTACTGCATGAGAACACACAGTTGATTCCGAACCTCCCGGACGGACATGCTGAAACAGTCCATCTGAATGAATTATCTTTGCTCCATCAAGTAGAATCTACATTAACGTTACCTTACCCATCTTCCTCTCGTGTTTCACAATTACAATGTTATAAAGGTAAAAGGTAAAGGTAAAGTCGGGAGATGTGAACCAGCGTCATTGCACACAGCTATTAACCATAAGTGCTCTGCTACTAGTACGGACAGCTGATAAGAAAAGGTCAGCCTGTGTCGCCGTCCGCACGCAACTCCGTAGCTACAGCGACGTTTCTCCATTTACCCCTGAGTGTTAACTCTGGTACCCATTAACTAGAGGTTGGGTCAACCCCGGGAACCGACGGCGTCGAACACCGGCCGTGGGCTGCAGCGAGTCGCAGTTGGATTTGAAGGCAAGTCTCATATCGATTGCGCTAACGCGGCCCCAACTGTGTTATCATGATCATCATCAAATTCATAATTATTATTATTATCGTCTTCGTTATCGTGATAGCAGAAACTACATACGCAACACATACGAGGTGGTAAAGGAAAGTTCTATATACTTACTTAGTCGATCCTCTTCTACCGTTAGGTGTAGACGTTTGTAAAGGAGACTACTCAATCGGTAAAATTCTTGTTGGTTTGTTTCCATTTCGCTCCTTGTCAGTCGGAGACTTTCTGATGTTGCCATTTCCGTGAACTCTGAAGAAGCCCTGGAGGTCTTGTTCCCTGGTTCTTCTACTCTTTGCTTGACATTGTGACTGGAACTGATGTCCTGAGTTCGTAAGGCTTGGGATTTGTGATCATGCATGACAAACTGTCTGGTTGTAAACTTTGTTCTTTCTTGTCATGGGGCTAGCTTTCTCTCTCACGGGTACTTCATTTCTGAGGCTTGAAGTTGGCTTCTGTGAGCTGTAATTGCACATATCTCACACCTATAGGTCAGCACCGGTTCTATAGCATGCGAATATACTTTTCCTAACCTCCAATGACATGAGTTTATTGCATAGAACGTTCTTCATTTTATAAAATGCAGTTTTGGTCTGTCCTATTCTCTTTATTATCTCTGTGATATATCTCCCGTCTCGTAGGAGGCGTCTTATTGGGGACTTCCATTGAAGTCAGAGTGCATCTGCCCGAGCGGCAAGGAACAACCAACAGCACACAAATAAGCCAGTAAAACAGATGTACACGAAAAATTCAGGCCCTGGCACGAGCCCAAACGAATGAACAACTAGAACGTTCCGTCTGAGCTTACAGACGGTGAGCAAAGAAGAAAAAGATCTCAGACTGTACCACCTGTAGTTACTTGCTACCCTAGCTCCGTTGCTTCACATCAAGTACTAAATGTTGTATTATATACATTATTAGTACAGCTTGCCCATGTTTCCCATAGGAAATGTGACGCCGTGACTTTGTTCGTGCACTGGATTACCCTAACTGCGCAATATGCTAAATTGGGAGACTCATCATTGACACTGTTTCAAGTTTAAAAGTTAAACATGACACCATTCCCTTAGTTCATCATCATCTAAAGTTCTATTCATTTACTGGTGCCAAAGAAGTTAGAACTCTTCGTTTACTGCTGATGATTGGATGGAGCCATTATGAAGAGCATCACGAGTGCTATGATGTCGATTCTTAATTCCACATTCAGCCTATTCATTTAGCAATACAATATTCATCGACTATTTTTCATGATGAAATAATTTTGTAAATTCGGTTACTAAATAATGAAATCACAGAGAATACGTATATCAGCTTATATCTCAACTGTACATGTCACAATGGAAAAGTGAGCATCTGTCATAGCTTTTATCCGTTGCGTTCATAAGAAAAGAGGGACAGGCGGTCCTAACGTACTGGTCCGACTCAGATAAGGGTAAAATATTGCTATAAAAGGAATTACCGATACAAAGGCAGAATGCAGATGACACGAGGTATCCAGAAAACAGAAGACGTAAAGTATCATATTCAAACAAGATGAAATATAATTTACAACTAGTACTGATCACTTTTACAGGTATAGATGGATCGAAAGTAAATCAAAAATGTCATAATGCACGAAAACGGCCATCATTTATGACGAAAGACATGAAGTGATAATGTGTATGTCCTCCTCTGAGATGCACTTGTTCCTAACAACGCCTGGATTTACTTGGAATAAGCATTCTAAGATTGGTCTGCGCTAGGGTCTGTCGTTAGTGGTTGTCGGGCTTAAAACGTTCACAACGAGGAAAATTTGACATCTCAAGACAGAATGAGTGTCCCTAGAAATCTCAGTGAAACCTTGCAGCCGACTAGATGGGGTGACATCCTCGAGTTGTACCCATTTTATAACTATTTTTGAAAAAATAATTGATCAAACTGGTGAGCCTTTAATTTGTTTGACCAGTTTATAAAAAGCGTGCTGTAAATAGAGGCAGGGTACGTATGGGACACAGTTAAAAGGAAAAGACGCATGTGAATGTTCGGGTAGTGGCTCATATAAAAGCGAAGACAAAATGTACCTTTATAAATGTACATTTATAAGTAACTGGCTGTGAACAAAAGGAAATTGGGTAGTGATAGAGCAAAGAGGAAGTGACGGTTTGCAAATAAAGGAGGTATGGTAAGGAAAACAGGAAAACAAGTGGTTGATTGAAAAACGACTTGGAGTTTCTTAGGTATACAGTTAGGAAGAACAATCAGCTGTTAATGGAAGGAAAGTCGTTCAGAAATAACAGTGACGAGGAAGGAGAGGTGGCTCAGAGACAGAGTAAGGACGAATTGAGGTCTGCGAATGGACAAGGAGTTACTCGGGAACACAATACCTCTTTCACACGTTGGGCTGGTATATCCAGGCTTGCAACCATACAGACATCTGCCTGTAGCGAAGTCACACTGTCGACCATAGTAAGTGCTCGGCAGCTGACAGTTGTTACTGCAGGTAGACTCACAATACTCTCCGTAAGTTCCGGACTGGCATTCTGAAACAGTTCCCTCTGTAAGAATTATCTCAGCTCTAACAAGTGGCATTTATAAGTAACATTACCTTTCTCATCGCTTGCTTGTAATCACAAAGCCTAGTATATGATATCACAACGTCTAGTTTGAGAATGGACGTGGAGGCAGTTACTGCTGCTTTCCCCTGGATTGAGGATCAGCTCTACACACGTGCCGTAATTGTAACTGACTCGCAGAATATGCTGTGAAAGCTGGAGACAGGCATGATCAGTGCAGAGTGCAAGCATCGCGTCAGATGTCCCTGCTAGTTAGCGTCCTTTGGATATTTTCTCTTGTTTTTTCTGGTGTATTGGGAAACGAGCTGGCAGAAAAACTGGCTGATTCTGCACCAGTTGGTGGCGAATTGATCTATGACAAGCTAGATGTTGTAAGGACCCTTTGAGAGCACATAACCAGTGCCGAGGCACAGATAGACCATAACGGTCTAAGGAGAATGGTGCTGCAGAGAGTTATGGGAGGGTTTGGCTGACGCTCAACACTCAGGAAAACGGCGAACGGATGTATAAAAAGACAGTTGTTGGTACTATCGGAATTGGAACTCGTTGCTTGCTGCTGAAGATGTGGACGGGGCGTGCGAGTGTCCTGAGTGCTACAATTCAATAATCAACATTCAGCGTATTGTCACTGCTTTCTTTATCATCATTAGCATTATCTTTCTCAGTTTAAACTATCATTCAATAGTTATGATCATGTCAGTGATTGATTTAAATATATATTTCCGTTTCCTCGTTCATTGAATATCCTTTAGGTGTTTTATTCGTGCATCGGCGATCAGTTATGTGTTCATTAAATCGTTCAATATCCTTTATGTGTTTACTTGTTCATCGAAGATCAATTATGTATTCATGCAATTGTTGAACATCCTTTATGTGTGTATTTGTTCATCAGAGATCTGTTTTGTGTTCATTCAATCATTGAATATCCATTATGTGTTTAATCGTGTATTGGTGATCATTTGTGAGTTCATAAAATTAATGAATATCCTTTATGAGTTTAATCGTGCATCGGAGACCAGTTATGTGTTCATTAAATCTCTACTCATTACTCTGTATTAGTCGTCTTATACCTATATTTTTTATCGAGGAGATGTATACGCAAATTAAACTACAGTTTCATTAATTTTCGACATATTTTTATAACTATACGTCGTTTTTAAGGTAAATAAGTGTGCCGAATAAATATAACAATAAAGGCTCTTACAGACAAACAAAAATGCTTTTGCTATAGTCAGCATGAACATAAACATCAGTAACGTTTAGATGTCAACTAAAAGTTGTTCCAGCAAAAGTAAAGAAATATCAGTGCTAACTCTTTGATTCTGAGAGGGTATTGTTGCATCAGAGGAGCGGGGGAAGGGTTGGGGGGGGGGAGTGTAGGGGAGGGGTGACATTTGTACTTTATCAAATTAAGCACATACAATACTGCCATGAAACATACACATATCATACATAACATAAATATAAATAATTGATGGTTATTATTATTATTACTAGACTACTACAACATGTCATTATACTGTTATTTAATAATTAGTAAACAAGCACAATCAGTATGAAATTGATATGTGCAATACTTTTTTCACCCAGAGTAGTTTTCTTAACAGTACTTATAGCACTACTAAACGTGTATCCTCAAGGTACAAACAGCACAAACAAATTTGTCCAGTTTCATCTTGTCGGATGAAATCAATTCCTTACCATTGCGAATTTTTTTTGGTAACAAATATGCATAGGAAGTTGATGAACAACCAGAAGTTTCAACCAAGAGTTTACAGCCAGTGTTCGCGAAGCAAAGCAAAAGCCAGTTTACAAAAATTAACATAGACCGTACAACTGCAAATATGCAAAAGAAGTTGATAAGCAACCAGAAGTTTCCGCAAGAGTTTACAGCCAGTGTTCGCTAAGCAAAGCAAAAGCCAGTTTACAAAATTAACACAGGCCGTACAACTGCAAACATGCAAAAGAAGTCGATGAGCAACCAGAATTTTCCGCAAGAGTTTACAGCCAGTGTTCGCGAAGCAAAGCAAAAGCCAGTTTACAAAAGTTAACACAGACCGTACAACTGCAAAAATGCAAAAGAAGTCGATGAGCAACCAGAAGTTTCTGCAAGAGTTTACAGCCAGTGTTAGCAAAGCAAAGCAAAAGCCAGTTTACAAAAAATAACACAGACCGTACAACTGCAAATATGCAAAAGAAGTGGATAAACTACCAGAATTTTCCGCAAGAGTTTACAGCCAGTGTTCGCAAAGTATAAGTCAAATGGTTATGGATTAATATTATTAGTGTACTGCTACAACATATAATTATACTTTTAGTCAACAATTAGTAAAGAGGCAATGAGTGACTTGCTGTAAGAGGTTAGTTAGTAAATTAAATTTTATTTTCATCCACTTACCTAGAGCTCCAAAATATCTTGACACAATTTATCCACAGTGTGGTTGCACCATTTATGCACAGTCAATATGAAAGCAATAGTTTTCTTCAAACACAAGACAGTTTGCACCTGACAACTGTCGATATTTTCCAGATATGGCTTCTAAATTACCTGTTTGTATTATCCCTAAAAGTATGATTTCTACATTTAAAGAAGAAAAGTAATAAACAGTAAGTTCCCAAAAATCCGAACAACTGACTAGAAACAGTGACACTGACACACACATCACAACACGACTGTCTTCCATGAATTACAATTAAAATTGAAATTGCTGTATATCCACGTCACAATATCCATTTGTAGATTTGTAATACGAATACGTTTAGAACACAGGGCTTTCTAAGCATATTAATATGTCACACAATGCAACATGGAAACGCTCCCAGTAACCTGTTTTCGAGGGGGACTCCTCCAAAATGTACTGTGATTCAGTTGTCAGGACTGAATATGCAGCCGGACGTGGTTGAGGTCGGGCAAGTTAATTTAATATAACAAATAATCGAGTTCTAGATTTGTTTAATTGGTACAACTCACGAAAGTAGCCCTATCTCGTCGGCCGCGTGATTCCGTAGGGAATTTCCAGGGACACTCCGATGATCTAGGGGTGTCACATGTTCCTCGTTTTGAACGCTTTAAGCACCGTCAATGAGCGAAAAATACAAACTTATCAATGTCTCGATACTCAGAAACCAACTCGCCTTCGGCGTTTCCCCCTGCAGTACCTTCCTCCTTGCACACTAACGTCATTGCAAATAACAGCACACAAGAAATAAATTGATCACAGAAATTAGTGTTATGGAAAAAACAAGTTGTGCAGTTTCGTCTGTGAGACAGGGTGTCAACGGCGTCGAACGAACCCGAGCCACTTTTCGGCAAGCTGTGAATAGACTACGAAGGAAGATATCTCATATTACCCCTACAACATAGAACACACCGTTGGAACCGCTGTGAAATCTCGTTGCCGACGAGATGGTGTGACTTTTGTAATGAGTACCGTTTATTATAATACGAGTAGATGGGGAACAAAAAATCCCAACTGGGTGCAAGACAATAATAACATCCAGTTTCAAAGACAGGAAATCTTACTGACTGAAACAACTGGAGAGCAACTAATCTGGTGTCAGTAATGTTCGGGATGTTTTGTAAAGTAATTCCCAGTAGAAATAAAAATGCTTTGGGGGAGAAAAATATGACAGAGGAACAAGCAGATTTTCGACCTGCAAGAAATTGTTTAGATAAAAAGTTACCCTTGGAATTTTTTTGGGGAATGTGTTGAAAAACAAAAATTTATTATTTCAAATTGTAATGAATTTAAGAGAGGTAAGAAAACCCCCACTGAATAGTTTATCCGTCCCAGTATGGAAAGTAATATTTTTTGTTATTTTAACGCCCCAACCGAGTTCTTGTCAGTGGCCCTAATATAACCTAATGGTTGAATGGGTTTTCTAGGACCTTTACCCTTTTGATTCCCACCCAAAAGATAGACAAGGCCAATAAAACATCTTTCTTAGGGATGCCTAGTTGACCATGTTCTTAGTGCACTTGTATTCATGGCGAGGCGCACACGCCGTCTGGAGGTGACAGTTTCAATTCCCGGCACGGTAACTATTGCTCTTGATTTTTATGTTTTCTAGTGTTTTCTTCTATCTTTCTACTTCTTTCTTTGAGTGCTGATCAATACATTTTCTGTTACTTTATTAATTCATAATATTGAACGGCCTCAAAGGTTCCCCCTCTGTTTGTTTATAGGAATGACGTATAAACACCGGAACCTTCCAATCAAATACCTTTCTTAAATGTTTGTGTATTCTAGACAAAGCATTAATGTCTACTGTGTTCGTAAATTGTTGCTGTAATTGTTTTTCGACATATGCTTCGTTAATATAAATTTCTGTAACCTATGGTGCCATTTCAATTGTTTGAAATGAATTCTATCCGTATTACATGGTTGTGGATTTCAAGCTAGACGATAGACATGGCCAATAAGACACCTTTCTTTGGGGTGCCTAGTTGACCATGTTTTTAGTGCACTTGCATCCATGGCGAGGCGCACACGTTGTCTGGTGGTGACAGGTTCAATTCCCGGCACGGTAACTTTAGTTTTCGATTTTTATGTTGTCTAGTGTGTTCTTCTATCTTTCTACTTCTTTCTTTGAGTGCCGATCAATACACTTTCTGTTACTTGATTGATTCACCCAAAAGTTGACACTTTTCGTCACTGGGTGTTTGTCACTGGTTGTGCGTTTCTTGTGGAGGTTGAACCTCAGTCACAAAACATCACTGTGGCGAATTTTGGAATGCTGTAGTTACCGGTGAACACAAATCAATAATATTAAAGCGAAATATAGGTTTAGAGTGTACGGGACGAACATATAGTGGTTGTAGTGATTGGTTTTCATTTGAATCTGGACTAAATTTTGTGCTGGAAACAGCAGCATTGAATGGATAGAGAACACACAGTTCGACGATCTATGCATTACTGATACTATTGTTCTGCAAACTAAAAACAGTAACGCCTTGCGAAGGAAAACGTACGGTTTACAAATATAGCGCTAAAGCTTGGATTACAAATAACATGTGAAAGGACATATATATTGAAGACAACCATAACGGATTAAGCAGATATAACACTAGGGACACAAGGTATTCAAGTAACAGATCAATTTACTTATGTCTTCTTCTTACGCCTTAGAAAAGGAGACACTCGACTTCGCAGCCACATGTACACAAAATCAAAAATCGGTGAATCCGCCATGTGCACCTGTGGATTGGCACCTGAGACAACAGATCATGTCCTCCAAGACTGTCCTAAATACAACATATCAAGGCAAGGCAAACATTTGGCCAAGAGAAACATCGGTGCAAGTCAAACTTTACGGGTCGCTGAGTGAATTACACAAGACTGAAGATTTTACTAGAAACAACACTGAAGATATAGGTAACTTATTTCAAGCCAACGAAAGAATGAGAAGAAGAATTTTCTTATTTAAGCAGCACTTCAAGGAAATAGCAAGAATCAAATTATGACACACTGGCAAGGTATCAGCGGCGTTTAAAAGCACGAATACAATACTGAACTCTAAATTGTATAGTTTCAACAACAACAACAAAAAAACAGTTACATATTTCTTTTTTTAAAATATTATTTCAGTCTGAAGAGACGCCAGTGAAAGTTGAAGAAAAACGCAAGACAGGGAAGGAAAGTTGAATGCTTTTGAAATGTTGAACAAAACATGCTGAACATAAAATCGAAGGAATTCAAAAGGGTGAAGAAATAAATGAAATTGCTGTGCGAAAAGTAGTTACAATAGCTATAAGACAAAGAAAATGGTGCTATACCAGACACATTCTTAGAAAAAGGGGGGGGGGGGGGGGGGGGGGGTTAGCGAGCAAAGAATGACCAACCATGCACTAACATGGACAATAAAGGGATTGTGGGAACGACGGCCCCACACCCCCCTCACCCCCGCTTTTCGAATAAAAAAAAAAACACCTTAAAATGAACATTAATGATAGAGGCCAAAGCTGCTTGACTGGATTCCATTTATGATATTGAATTTACTGTACAGAATAGAGCGACCAAAAAAAAAAAAAAAAAGGAACAGACAGCCAACCGTATAATATATGATAGCTCAACACGACAATGATAGTGACGATGATACTATGTGTTAATCTACATTCAGCGAATATCTACTATGTGGTAATCTACATTCAGCGAATATCTATTAAGTGTTATTCAATCATCGATTATCAATTTTGTGTTTATATATCATTCGATATCTACTGTGTGTTCATGCAATATTTCATTGAATATGTATTTATTCAGTCTTTGAATATCTACATCTTTTTTATTCCGTCATTAAATATCCACTGTCTATGTATTCTTCTTTCTTCTTTTGTCGTCCCACTGTTATACCAGGTTATAGCCCGCATTATGATTTTCTCTATTTGTCTTGCGCTTCTCGAGTGGCTCAGTTAATGGATTTGTTCAGCTTTTTGCAGGTTTCATCAACATAATTTATCAGTCTCTTTCTTGGTCTTTCTCTGGCCTTCCTCCCAGATGTTCTACTGTGAAAAGTCTAATATGCAGTTTTGTCTGGCTGCATTCTCACTACATGACCGAACCATTTCATTCTTTGTCTGTCAATATAATCCAGATATGGCCTTATTCCTACTTTTTCTATTATGCTGGTATTAGTAACCATGTCTCTTCTAGTGTTTTTAGGGACCATGTGGGGACAGCGCATTTAACATGTAGTTATTTTCTTTTCAAGTGGCCTTCACATTGTTCACGTTTGGCATTGATAACATGAAGTAGGGACAAAGTTGTCGTTAATTATTTGCTGTTTTGCTGGAAGAGACATTTGGGTGTCTAAGCAGTGCGGTTAACTTGTGGGCAACAGCATTCGCCTTCAGGACTTTGTCTTCTATCTCTCTCTCTCTCTCTCTCTCTCTCTCTCTCTCTCTCTCTCTCTCTCTCTCTCTCTCTCGAATCTGCCATGGTCCGTAAATATGCTTCCTAGATTTTTGAATGCTCGTACTTGTTTTATTATAGTACCCTTAACATGAACGTTAGAGATATTAGTTTCCTGCCTTTCCTTACTATCTCATTTTTCGCGGTCTCTATTCTCATGTCATACTTTCTGCAGGCTTGATGTAAGAAGTCGGTATGGTGTTGTCAAGTCTTTTTCTTGGTGGAGTATTAGACATTGATCGTTTGCAAAAAGAAGCTCACTGATTTACTTCAGTGTCTGTATTTGCATCCTGTTATTCTATCCATGTAAGTAATGAACTGCAATGGTGAGAGGGCGCCTGATGATATGGAAAACCAGTCTATCATTCCTTTTGTTGTTCTTACTGTGGCCTACCTATCTTGGTAAAGAGCCATGATTTTACCCAACAGTTGATCTTGAATTCCATAATCTTCTAGAATTTTCCATAGTTTGCTTCTGTTGACTCGATCGAACGCCTTCTCTTGATATATAAATGTGAGATTGTGACTTCCAATAGATTCAATAGACTGCTCGCATTTCTGCCTTAACTCTGAGTTCCAGGGGGTTTAGCATCAGAGGTCCAAGGGGTAGTCAAGAGAGACATAAAATCGGCGCATCTTGCCTTTATTGGGCCTTTAGGTAGGAACCTATGAACGTATGGTGCGTTTCTTGGGACTCAAAAAGTTAAAGAAAATATTGAATCTGTACGGCTCTTTTCCTTCCTGAAACAGAACTGTCCCCTACTTAACTGGGTCTATAGTACTTGTCGAGCTCTATGTTCCAATATTTTTTGCAAACATCTTTCCATTATAGCTCAGGATGGAGATGTCCATGTATGTTTCAGTCTCTTTTGTCCCCTTTATTATTCCAAATGGGAATAATGATTGCTCTTTGCCAGTCACTTGGAACTTTCCGTGTCCCTCAAACTATGTTAAAGATTCTGGTCAGCAAAGCTCTTGATGCTGTCTTACATGAAAATAGCATTTACGTTTTATGTATTCAATCATTGAAATTATGTTTATGTAGTTACCAAATTTTTGTACAATATGGAATACTTAGGAATTCTATTATGTCTCAACTCTACACGTCATAACAAAAAGCCTGTACCTGGTAGTCATGTGTTCATTGATTTCACAAGACAAAAAAGGGACACACCATTTTGAGTGAACAGTGTGTGACTGTAAGGAGGTTGAATATATTACATGGCTGTAAACAGACAGGAAGTACCTCAGGAATACAGCCAAGATAAACATATGTTTGCGGATGGAGGAGAATTGGCCCATACGTACACTGCTAAAGGAAAGATTATGTAAATGAACAGGGGGTGGTTTTGTAAAGAGAAACTAGTTTCAGTGAAAATGCAAAGATTGGGGAGTCGCCGTGGCCGAGCTACTATACGCTTGCCGCGGATCGGAAGGTCGTGGGTTCGTTCTCTGACGGAGCCGGTCTTTTTTTCAAAATGACTTTGGCTCCCAGATGGACCCAGCCTTGAGTGGGTACCGGGTGCAGTCCCGAGAAGTAAAGGCGGCCGGCGTGCTGCGGACCACATCACCCATTTTGTGCCGATTGGTGTATAAAAATATAGGTCTAGCCCTGCATGCCCTATACGCCTAATGGCGTGGGAAAAGGGATTATACACGGATTGACTTGTAACGCAGTAAAAAAGAAAAGACAGTTGCAAACAGACAAAGAGTGGCTGGGGACAATGCAAAAAAAAAAAAAGAATGGATTGTTGTGAATGGTTAACGGCTCAAGTTCACAGTGAAGAAGAACAGACGGCTATAAATGGACGAGGAGTCAATCAGTCACAGTACCTGTGTCACATTTAAGGCCAGCATATCCGGGCTCGCAACGATCTAGACATACGCCTGTCATGTGGTAACACTTTCGGCCAGTCTTCAGGCAGTTGATGCTGCAATTATACATACAGTTGTGTCCGTACGTCCCGGCCGGGCAGGCTGAAACAGTTGTATCTGTTTGAACTATCTCCGCTGCAACAGGCGGCGGCAGCAGAAACATTACCACAGTCAACTCTTTCTCGTAATCAAAATCAGCATGTTGTCACATCATCAAAGCATCATCAAAGCATCATTATTTTATTCATCACTATCATTATCGTCATAGTCCTAGCAGCTGTTACGGCTGAAACCAGCATAATCTCGGTCGTAATCATAGCCGAAAAATGATAACAGCGAGCACTGATTTAGCTAACAATGCATTCATTTTTCAGTTGTCGAATGTCAACTTACTGTTCGTTCAGTCTTTGAAAATTTATAATGGTTTCATTGACTGTTTGAGTATATTATATCTATTGCAGCGGTTCTCAACTTGTGGGTAGCGGCACTTTTCGGGGGTCGAATTACCCTTTTACCGGGGTTGCCAAAGACCATCGCAAATCACATATTTATTGAAGTATGAAGTAGCGACGAAAAGAATTGCATAGTTGGAGATCACGACAACATGACAAACTTTATTTTAAGTGTTGGCGATATATAGGCTAATACCCGTCTTATTCATCCTCTTGAACTTTTTTTTTCCAGGGATACAGATGAGTATAATTTATTTTGTACATTAGAGTCCTTATGTAGACACTTCACAGTTATAGCATATTTGTGTATTTGTACTGTGTTGTTCTTTATGTACTGATGAAGGCTAATCGCCGCAACGTCCTTTGTTTGTTTATTGTGATCAATTTTGTAAAGCTAACAAACTATTTGTTCTTTCTTACCCCCTCTTTCTTTTCCCTATAATTTTCCACCCCTTTAAAACTTATTAAAGGGTACGAACAATCAAACTTTATTTTCAATAGGTTCCAAATTAGGCACGCAGGCCCACTTTAAATTCGGCCCTTCTAAACACCCATCTTTCACCTAGCACTTGTATTTTATCAATAAAGCATGTTATGTTTTTGAAAAAAATATGCATATTAGGAGTATCAATCACAAATATAAAAGCACGCGTGGTAAAATGCAAACGCACACTCGCGCGCGCACACACCCACCACATATACACGCAAACCCACAAACTTACTTACCCACACATATGCACCAACATACATACACACACATCCACATACATACATACATACATACATACATACCCTCGTACATATACACATACATACATACAAACATATATTAATACAAAATACATACATCTATATATATATAAAAATCAATGTTTGTGTGTTTGTTTGCCCCCTATAAACTCGGAAACTACTGAACCGATTTAGCTGAAATTTTCAGGATATGTTTGTTTTGATACCTGATTTTGAACCATCGTGGTTTGAAATTAAACCTGTCACTGTTAGAGATAGGTGACCACAATTTATGCCATAATATACGCGACTAATATTTATAACTTTAGTGATTTCTAATTATAGCCACGTTACTTGGGATCGATTTAAAGTGCATGCGAAGTAGTGACGCTCTATCGTCACATCCGCCTGCAAGGAAAATGGCTATCGGTTTTTAGTTGTGTTATCAAGAAATATATAAAAAGGTAAGAGCTTTATTTAAGTAACATTAGTCAGTATGTACATGTTTTTTGTTTAATTTTAAACAAATGTGGACCACTTCTTAAATCCCGCAATGATAAATGTATACACATTATCATTAACTATTATTGTCTTTCTCATACTCGATACCCATGAGTACCACAAGTAGTACACAGTTTTGGTTGGCTTTCTTCTGTTATTCAAACGAATTATATAAATTTACACGACATTCTTCTCAGGTCAGTGTTAGAATCTAAAAATATCTCAACAGGTGAGCGCCTTTATTACAGTGACATCAGCCATTATGTACATTTTTTTTAACAAATACATGTGTGGACCACTCCTTGAATCTCACAATGATAAATGTATGCACACTATCTGTTGGCGTTCTCATATTGTCTTATATACCTCCTTTTCTTACTATTTGCTGCCCAGTTTCTATGCATTTCCTCTTGAGTCAAAATAGTTTGTTATCTCATGCTCATATTTTCATTTATTTTAGTGATACTTCAAGTCACATTTCATTCAGTGCGTGAGGAAAAACAAGCTATTGATGATCAGCGCTCACAAAATTTGCAGTTATGCCTCCCAAACGACAAGCGATTGGCCCATCTACACCTAAAACACGCAAGAGAATGGCATTATTTGCTTCAGACGAGCAACGTGAGGTGAGACTGCAAACCAGTATGTACATGTTTTGTGTTTACTTTAAACAAGGGTGCACCACTTCTTAAATCCCGCATTGATAAATATATACACATTATCATTATTCCCCGTGTGGGTTCCGGGGTCCCATTGTGGGGAAAACAAGAATAGACACACTGCCTCCCCAAAAGCATGTCGTAAGAGTCGACTAATTGGGTAGCCTCCTTTGAAGTCGGAGTGCATCTGCCAGAGAGGCAATGAACCAACAGTCTGTATTCAAGAGAATGAGATCTGTAAAAGTGATGCACACGCAACACTCAGGTTCTGGAGCAGGACTGCAGTTCAGTAGTGGACGAGCAACCAGAACTTTCCTCCAAAGTGTACAGCTGGTGAACGCGAAGAAAAAGAAAAATATTAATCATTATCTGTTATCTTTCTTATACTCACTGGTACAACATTGGTTCAACAGTTTTGGTTGGCTTTCTTCTGTTATTCTAAAGAAGTATATATATTTACATGACATTCCGTCTCAGGTCAGTGTTAGAATCTAGAAATATCTCAACAGGTGAGTGCATTTATTTCCAGTGACATCAGTCAATATGTACATTTTTTTAACTTCAAATACATGTGTGGACCACTCCTTAAATCCCACAATGATAAATGCATGCACATTATTTGTTGGCTTTTTCATATTGTCTTATATACCTCCTTTTCTTACTATTTGCTGCCCAGTTTCTATGCATTTCCTCTTGAGTCAAAATAGATTGTTATCTCATGCTCATATTTTCATTTATTTCAGCGATACTTCAAGTCAACTTTCAACATGAGGATGAACAAGCTACTAATGATCAGCGCTCAAAAAATTTGCAGTTATGCTTCCCAGACGACACGCGATTGGCCCATCTACACCTAAAACACGCAAGAGGAAGGCATTAATTGCTTCAAAAAGAGACGAGCAACGTGAGGTAAGACTGAAAACCATTCGAGTGCGCACTGCTGAAGCCTGTTCATCTCAATGAGACCAGCAACGGAAAGCAAGACTCGAAAACGTTCAAATGCGCACTACTTTATCCAGGCGAACACTGCATGTTGATTTGAATCTTGGTGCATTCCATTACACCAGCAATTGTGATTGGTCTTCATCTACTCTCGCTTATTGGCAAAATGGATAAATTGTGCATACATTGCAGTGCCTCCAAATTTGAGAATGACATGCCGGGTATGTGCTGCGCTGGTGGAGAAGTTAAATGGCCAGTATTACATTCACCACCCGAACCATTATCATCATTGGTAGTAGGTGACACAGGCCAGTCGACACATTTCTTGGCAAACATAGGTACATTTGCAAATATGTCAACAAAGGAGGCGATATGGCAGTCTTTGGAGTGGGACATGCAGCTGCATCTATCGATGAAATCAAGCAATATCAGCTGGGGCTCTACATTAGTAACAATAAAGCGGTATGGCGCATTTTCTCATTTCCAATTCATGAATGACATCCAGCAGTTGTTCATTTGGCAGTGCACCTTGACAATGGACAGCGCGTGTACTTCACTACAGAGAATGCACATGCACGAGCATTGTTACCACCGCCAACCAGGTTAACTGATTTTTCGCATTGTGTAGAGATATGTTTGCAAAGACACTGCTTTACTCTGACCTGCCAAAATACTACACATGGAATGCATCAGCTAAAAAGTTTCAACGTTGCAAGCAAGGTCAAGCGGTTGACGGACATCTTAATTTATATTCTACTGATATTTTAGGCCGTCTGTACACTGTTCATCCCAAAAATGCATATTGCTTTTACTTGCGATTACTTTTAATCAACAAACGGGGACCGGCATCCTTCCAGGACTTAAGAACAGTTGATGGTAAAGTATGCGCTACTTACCGTGAAGGTTGTCAAGAATTAAATCTTCTTGAAAATGATGCACATTGGGACACTTCACTCGCTGATGCTTCGAATACTGCTTGACCACAGCAAATACGCACATTATTTGCTATAATATTAACAACTTGCTTCCCATTCATTCCAAAAGAGCTTTGGGAAAAATACAAAGACTACATGAGTGAAGACATCCTGGCGTGACACGAAGCATGATCAGGACCTTCAATTCATACCATGAGGCATTTGTTTGCATTAAGGACATATGTTTTACAATAACTAACAAAGCACTGGTTCAGGTGGGACTGGCTGTACAATCTGCAAACAACCTTTTCGATCGTGAGTTGCCATGAATCCGAACATCTAAGACAAATTACCAGGCGGTGTGACAACGTATAAGTCTATCGATACTGTAATGAATCAGGACGAAATTGTTAATTATCCAACTGAGTTCTTAAATTCACTTGATTTGCCAGTCATGCCACCCCACATTTTAACCGTGAAAATTGGCGTGCCCATCATTCTTCTCAGAAACATCAATCCGCCACGTCTTTGCAATGGTACCAGGCTTTTAGTGAAAAGGCTGATGCTCAATATCATCGGAGGTACAATTTTAAATGGGAAATTTAAGGGCGAGAATATACTTTTGCCACGCATCCCAATGATTCCAACAGACATGCCATTTGACTTCAGACGCTTGCAGTTTCCGGTGCGACTCGCCTTTGCAATCCCTACAAATGTGTGGACTACGTTTGGAACATCCATGCTTTTTACATGGACAGCTATATGTGGCCTGTTCATCCGTCGGAAAACCTTCTAATTTATTTGTGTACGCGCCAGACGGAAGAACAAAGAACATTGTTTACCCAAAAGCACTTCAGTAAAAACATTTTTAATGTTAAATTAGCGGCACAATGATCCAATATAATAACATTTTGTTAAAGCGATTTTCCTTTCAATTTACTTTCTATTGTATCAAAGCGTGCAGGGTTGTTTACAGCAATTAGCAAATGTGCTAATTTCGTAATTATGGTGTATTTTTCCTCTTCTCATTGCTTTTCACTAGGGTAATTTTTCCAACTACTTCGATGAAGGAGAAAGTAGTATGTGAACTGGGGGATGGGTGGTTACAATAAACTGTTTACTGAGATAGATTTAAGTTACAGTAACTGCCTTACCCACTCAAAGTTTTATTAGCTGCGGTTTAGCTGTTGCACTGTACATCGCTAGCGTGAAGCGAAGACACATTTCTTTGTTCTCTATTTTCCATGCAGCCAAATTACGCCACAGCAACGCGTGGCCGGGTACAGCTAGTACATTCATACACAATACATACATATTTTCATAAATACACGTATACATACATAATACATACATAATACATACATACAGAAATAGATACATACACACACATTCAGACGCACACACACACACATATTCACACACACACATACATATTCACACACACACATACATATTCACACACACATACACAGTCACACACACCCATTCACACAGACACAGTAACATACAGACACACACCCAGACACATGAACAGACACATACACACACCCAGATACATGAACACAGAGATGTATGGCATTAGGACGGTTGAGAGTCACTGGTCTATTGAATGATTATTGCGAGATCATTGATTATAATTCATTGTGTGTTTATTCACTTAAAGAAAGCCCAGTATCACTCGTTCAATAAATGCTTTTTATATCTTCCTTTAATCACTCGTTTTTTTTTTCTCCCTCTATCGCCCTCTATTATGGAATATCTTGTATGTGTTCATTCAGTGATGGACAATCCATTATGTGTTAAACATTGAGTATCGATTGTCAGTTCACTCAAATATTGAATCTATTACCAGTTAACACCTTCTTTCAATATCGTTTACGTGTTCACTACGTCACTGCATATCAACTGTGTAGTCATTCAATCCCTTAAATTTTTTTGATTTTTAAAATCTTCTCACCAGATCGTTGTAAGATAGAGAATACGGAAGACTTCTATAAGGTCGCGACTCAGTGTCACAACAAATAAAGTATGTACATGTTGCATTTGATGAGTTCACGGGGCGGAAGCGAATAAAATAAATGTAAACAGACCAGGAGTGGCTGAGATACGGGGGCGAATATCCGAGTAAAAACTAAAGGACCCCTTTCCACGCCTTTCAAGCGTATTGGGCATATAGGGCTAGACATATATTTATAGACCAAACGGCACTTTTTTGGGTGGTGTGGTCACCATCACGCCTGCCGCCTTTACTTCCCAGGACTGCACCTGGTACCCACTCAAGGCTGGGAGCCAAGGTCCGCTTCTGTTAGGAACCAAACCCACGACCTTCCAAGCCTCAGGCAAGCGTCTAGCCGCTAGACCATGGCTGCTCCACGAGTATCAGAGGACGGCTGTAAATAGACCGGAAGTACGTTATCGACACAGGTAAGAGAAAAGACATTTTTTTTTTTTAAAATTTAAAAACACTGGAAGGGGCATAGATAAAAGTATGAGAAAAGCACACGCCGTCATTGAACGAGCAGTGGCGAAAGAAACACAATGAAGAGCAGGTTTAAAAACCAACAAAAAGTATATCAGCATGCTTAACAATATAACAAACACAGGCACGAACGTCGCGGCTATGGAGCCTTTATCAGCACAGGCATAAATCAAACAATACCACACAAATACACCCAATCACTTAGCTAGTATCTCGAAGCAGCCAGGTCGATAAATTGCCAGTAGACTGACGAGACACGTGGGACAGGAGAATAAACACCACAGGAGAAGGTAGGGGCCGCAAATGGACAGGGATTGGGTAGGGGCGCAGTAGAACAGAATGGACGATTGTAAATAGACGGAATGGACGATTGTAAAGAGACGGAATGAATGATTGTAAATAGACGGAATGTTTGATTGTAAATAGACGGAATGGGTGATTACAAATGGGCAGATTGGACGATTTTAAATAGACGAAATGGATGACTATAAATAGACGGATGTGACGATTGTAAATAGAAGGAATGGATGATTTTAAATAGACGGAATATACGATCGGAAAAGACGATTGTAAATAGACGGAATGGATGATTGTAAATTGACGGAATGGACAATTGTAAATAGACGGAATGGATGATTGTAAATAGAATGAGTGAAGGATTGTAAAGGACTGAATGAGCGATTGTAAATAGACGGAATTGATGATTGTAAAAGACAGAATATACGATTGTAAATAGACAGAATGGGCGATTGTAAATAGACGAAATGGACGATTGTAAATAGACGGAATGGAAGATTGTAGATAGACGAGGAATGGCTCGGGGAAAGATAAAGAGGTGCTATGTGAGAACAGATGTGACACAGAGACCCAGTGAAGACGAAGGCAAGGCTGTGATTGGTCACAGAGTGGCTTTGGGACACAGTACCTACTGTACAGGTTCGACCCGTAAACCCAGGCAGGCAGCCATGCAGACATGTGCCTGTATGTGCGTTACACCGGCGGGTATAAGAATTGCTCGTCGATGCGCAGAAGGCACCACAATGGTCCGCACAGTTTCGTCCATACTTCGAAACTGGACATACTGAAACAGTTCCAAATAAATAATTATCAGAGCTCAAACAAGCGGCACAAGTGTTAACATTGTGTACTCATCTCTGTTTCGTAGCCACTATAATAATTGCTACCACTATCGTAATCCAAATTATTATGATTCCTTACGTCCTTCTTAGGACGTTATTTTTTGTTATTTGAAGCCCCACTCTGGCTTTTGCCAGGGGCCGCAATATAGGCAGGTCATCATTATGGCCAAATGTCTGAACGCGGTTTCTGGGACCTCTCCACGGTGATCCTCATCCGCATGGTGGCACTTTGTGTCATTGGGTGTTTATCGCTTGTGTGATGTCCTGGTGCGGTAAAAAGCCAAGCCAATCCAAATTATAATATACTTTGCGTCCTTTTTAGGACGAAATTTTTCGTTATTTGAAGCCCTAATATGGCTCTTCCCAGGGGCCGCAATATAGCCTGGCCATAAATATGGCCTTAAGGCTGAACACGGTTTCTGGGACCTCTCCACCTTGATCCTCACCCACATGGTGGCACTTTGTGTCATCGGGTGTTTATCGCGTGTGTGATGTCCTGGTGGTGTAGACAGTCAGTCAGTCAATTCACATTATTTTCCACCTCCTCCTCTTCTTCCTCCTCTTCATCATCATCACCACCATTAGCTTCCTAACAGCAATTTTCTTTAATAACAGCATAATCGAGGTCGCATTCAAAGTCATGAGCAGAATAACAGCAAATTTAGATTCTATGCCTAACAAATCAGTTATCATTCAGTCTTTGAATATCTGTTATCTGTTTCCTCAGTCACAGTATATCTATAATATGCTCAGCTAATCGTTAAAAGTCGTTTATCTATTAACTCAATCATTGACTGCTAGTTATGTTTCTTTTAGTTTTTCACTGTCAAAATCTGTTCATTCAGTCATGGAACACGTAGTTCAGTTTCTTCCCAAATTATAAATATTTAGTCTGGTTATTAAACAGTTTGAAATAGTAAATACTGAAGAAGTCTATGACGTCTCAGTTCTTCGTCTCAAGACGGAAAACCCTGTACGTGTCACTATATCTTGTGACCGCTGCATTCACAAAACAGAAGAAGTAAAAAATAGAGAAATGGGGTTGTGGGGGGTGGGGTGTCGTGAATAGACGGGGGTCTAATATAGATTTCAGTAAATGTGAAAGGACGACTGTAAATAGAAACCTCGCAACTACAGGACATAGGAGTGGCTGAGATATGCTGTTATCAGGAGCTGACAGTGTGAATAAACGGTGAGTGACTGAGATATACTGTTCAGAGGAGCTGACAGTGTGAATAAACGGTGAGTGACTGAGATATACTGTTCAGGGGAGCTGACAGTGTGAATAAACGTTGAGTGACTGAGATATACTGTTCAGAGGAGCTGACAGTGTGAATAAATGGTGAGTGACTGAGATATAATGTTTAGAGGAGATGGTTAGGTTAGTAGCGTATCATTTACAGGTCGTTTTAGATCGAACCCCAACAACACCTGGTTTTTCTAGGCTATTTACGTCCAGTAGTTTGTCATTACCACTGTCGAAACCAATGCAAGGCGCATGGCCCGCTGCTGGGATCGAACCCGGCATCCCAGTGCTTCGCATCGACTTATCTGAGGAGATGAGTGTGAAAAAACGGTGAGTGACTGATATATACTGTTCAAAGGAGCTCAAGTTGTGAATAGAAGGGGTGTGGCAGAGATACACTGTTTAGAGGAGCTGACAGTGTGAGAAAACGGGGAGGGGCAAAGATACACTGTTTAGAGGTGCTGACAGTGTGAATAAACGGGTAGTAGCAGAGAAAAACAGTTAAGAGGAGCTGACAGTGTGAATAAACGGGTAGTGGCTGAAATACACTGTTTAGACGAGCTCAAGTTGTGAAAAGACGGGGAGTGGCAGAGATACACTGTTTAGAGGCGCTGACGCTATGAGAAAACGGGAAGTGGCAGAGATACACTGTTTAGATTAGCTGACGCTATGAGAAAACGGGGAGTGGCAGAGATACACTGTTTAGATTAGCTGACGCTATGAGTAAAAGGGGAGTGACTTAGATACACTGTTTAGAGCAGCTGACAGTGTGAATAAAAGGGGAAAAAGTGAAAATGAACGGATAACAGTGAATGAACGAGAAGTCGCTCAAAGTCACAACGAAGAGGAACTGCATTCTGGGAATGGACAGTGGGAGCCTCAGGATCACAGTTATGACGAACTGATAAATTTGTATTGACAGCGAGTAACTCAGTGCACCGTACCTGTTTCACACGTTTTACCATCTCCGGGGAGACAAAAAACCGCACAGTTGCCTGTGATGTGGTCACACCAGCGAAGAAAGTGCGGAGGTGCCCGACCTTGGCAGGTTCCACTGCATGTGCTTTTACATTTGTATCCCCACTTCCATTCCGGGCATTCTGAAACAGTTCCACCTGACTGAATTATCTAAGCTCCAAGTGGAATCAGTAGTATATACTTATCTCACTCATCTCTTTCTCGCAGTCACAATTATCAATGTTATCATATCATTGCTCTCATCATCGTGGTCATCATTATTAACGCCTGGTCATCATCGTTCCAGCCAGAATTACATCTAAAACAGCATTAAGCGAGGTCGAAGTCCAAACCCCAAGAATAATGTGAACAATTGTGTTATGTATTTTTTTAATCATTAAAGCATTCGCCTTCCAGCCGTTGAAGTCTGTAGTGAATCATTTTCTCCTAGATATTTTATTGAGGACGATTCGTGACGCCTGGAAGAATGTTGGATGAATAAACAAATTGCTTTCCGTGCGCCCCGATTCGTCCTCGATAAATTCAAATATCTAATTCATATTCGTTATCTGACTTCATTCCTACTGTAAACCCAGAATATTGAGTAGAAAATTATCCACTAAAAAGTCGGTAATTATTACGTTGGTCTCCACAATTACACACCGCTACACATTGGCTCGCTTCTCATTGGTCGACCTAAAGCCAACCTCACCTCTGATAGGTCGGCCTGAAGTGATCCGACTTTCACACAAGGACATGGGGCTATTACGCACTGGCACCGATATCGTGTGTTGTATATTTCACCATGCCAGAGCTTTTAACACTACAAAAACATTTATTTACTGGGTCTAACACACAACCCCCATAGAGAGTGACGCAACCTATGTCACAAGCCGTTTCTTTCTCATAATATAAACGTAAATGCATGACAACAAGAGACCGCGACACTCATAACCTCGACCACAGTAGACAAGTCCAACACACTTAATGGATTTGCCTTACGTCCGGTGGGGAGACTAACGTATTAAGAATCACACAGTCTAATAATTGTTCGCACATCAGTGAAAATTGATGGTGTGTTTGAAGAGTACGTTGTAGCGAGACGCCAACAGATCACTGCTGAAACACCTAGTTGCTAGTCACTGTCCGGCTTGTATGCTAACCAAGTAGTCAAAACATGAGTAATGCTCCATCAACAAAATACAGATTGCGCATTTTGTGTGAACGAAGTCTCTCTTTTTCAGTATTTGCAGCAGGCAGTTATCGCTCAATCGTAAAACATTATCTGGTCGAGCATTCATCGCCCTAGTCAAACAATGTGTTTCAACACATGAACAGAGATGAAAATCACATGGACCTGTCTTAGTCATTCGTTCTGCCTTCCAGGTTGAGAAATATAACAATAGTCTGTTCCCGAAGTTCTGCCCAACTTAAAAAGTATGTTACTCTGTGAGCTGACATGCAGCCTGTTAGTAAGCATGTCCTTGTAAAAGAAATTTGATGTTTATCGCAAATAAGCCTCTAGTTTTCATTTTGCCTTATTTGTGATAAAAAAAAAAATTAAAAATTAACAGCAACACGGAAACCAATTCATGGTGAACAATCAGCATGCTTACAGCAAAGTGAGTAAATTGAAAAAGTAGAACTTTTAGGTACATCAAACTGTATGCCTTGTGTACTTTAAAAATCGACGTCGTTCAACCTACTGCGAAGCCACCAACAGTCTCCGGTTATAATTATGTCTCCCGGTGTGTTCCTCTAGTCCTTATCTTCCTAATGTTTTCCTCGTGAATTATCCCCCTTCTGGTTAAGCCAGGCGCATCTTGTAAGAGACCGAGCTAGTTCGCAACTATTCTTTACAAAACGTCCTGCCAGACCACAATTTACAGTTTTAAAATTGTGAGTATTTTACTCGCGTCTGCTTCTGAGTCATGCACTGGTATCCGGTGACACTTCCATCACCAACAACTCTGCAGGCCAATCCTAGTTCCGACGGCAAAACGTGGAGGAACCTGTCTCCGCTGAACCAGCGGGATGCATGTGCATCCGGTGCTTGACTGGCAGCACCCAAGCTACTACCGCCACAACCATACGTCTACTTAAATTCTAAAAATCACCCTACAGTACCACCAAAGCCCGACTTACACGCCTGCTTCTTCACATTTTCTGTGAACTATGTCTCTTCTTCTCGACTCATCATCATGTTTCATGTCCTTTGCAGAACGCCGCTCTCATCACGGTCTGCCTGAAAGAAACTCTGTCTCTCGCCAGTTCTCCCGCCTCATGAACTTTCATACTCAAGGAGTCCTGTGCTTATCTTCATTTCGGTGGACCTCTGCTCCTCCTTCCTGGTACCATGCCTTCTGCTATAATTTTGTCCAATCCGTTGTGGCGTTTGATTTGACCAAAATATTTCAGCTTTCGAGAAAGGATGCTGTTTATTAGCCAATCTTCCTTGATGTTCAGATCTTTTAAGATGTAAATATCTCTCCTTTTCTTTGTCCAAGATATTCTGAGAATCTTTCTATAGCATTTCAGCTCAAAAGCCAATATTCTCTTTCTTTAGGACTGAGAGATAGTCAAAGACTCACATCCGTATGTAGCCACAGGGAAGATGCATGCTCTCAAAATTCTAATTTGTATCTCCTTACTGGTGCTTAACCATAGACTTTTAAGGCTGTTCAATCTTTGCATTGCTATTGCCATCCTCCTTTTAATTTCTGTTGAACAGCCTACATTGCTGTTTAATATAGAGCCTAGATATTCAAAGTTTGTGACATTTTCAATTTCTTTACCATTTATTGTTATTTTTGGGTGACAGCCAGTTTTATCTGTGGACATTATTGTCATTTTCTTTAAATTCAAGAACAGATTTTGATCTTTACTGTGCTTTTGGACAGACAATATAAAATTGTCTATTCCCTTTACGCTGTTCGAAAGGAGGACTGTGTCATCTGCGTAGCGGAGTTCCGGAATAGGGTTGCCACCAATTTTGAGCGGATCAGAACTGTCATTTTTGACTACGTGAAGTCAACTGGTTATAAACTTCAGCCTACACCTGAGACCCTTCATGCAAGCACGACTCTGGTTCTTGTTCATTCCGAACACCCACTACTTCTCCCTAATTCAAGTTCTTGACCGTGTGATCCCGTAAAATTGGGTATTCAGCTCAATTTAATTTTATCATCGCTAAATGACCTGCCGATTAGTGTGAGCGATCATGCCTCTCCACAACTGCGATCTTCAAACAAGCAAATAATGGAATAAAACTCTAGTTTTCATACACTGACCCCGCCAGTCTCTTTCGGTTATTGCAGATCTATTAAAAGATTGCCAATTTTTTAAGTGTCTATTCTAGTCGTTCGGTATTTAGTTGATTATTATTAGTGTGCATTTATTCAGTGAAAAACGGTTTACGTGTTCATTCAGTCATTGAATACTTGTTATGATTTCATTCATTATTTTAATGTCTTATCAAGGGTTCATTCAGATCTTCTTCTTCTTCTTCACTTCCTCTTTTACCGCTCTGGGTGTCGAGGGAGATATAAGGTTCTGTTTCTAGCTCTTCTGGCTGCCTCGACCATAGGCACATCGTGCTGTTGTAGAGTTTCTCTGATGTTATCCTTCCATCTTGTTCTTGGTCTACCCCGTGCTCTACGTCCTTCTTCTCTTCCCATGTATGCTTTGTATGGTATTCAGATGTTGTATGTCTAAAATCATTCATTAAATATTTATTAGGTATGTATTCATTTCATTTTTTTTAATTTCTCATATATATTTATTTATTCATTTATCGAAAATATTGTGTGTATCTTTAGTCTTTAATTATTAGATATTTACTCATTTATTAAACATCTACTATGAATTCATTCATTGAGAGTATGCAATGCTGAACAAGTCAACGATGTCTCAACTCTACATATTAGGAAAATAAAAAAAAAGTCCGTATATGCTAGTGTTACCCTGTGTTTATTAAGTTCTCAAGACATAAGAGGAAACAAAACATAGGATCGGATATCAAAAGTAACATTACCATAATTGCTATCTTTTGTATCACCTGCATTATTAGCATCATCATGACGAACATCATCGTCCTACTCATCATCAAATCTAAAACGCATTATATTATTACGACGGACATCGTTTCAGCAGCAACAATAGCAGCCAACAAAATTGAGCTCCTAACCACAACTCCAATAGTAACGACAATTGTTTATGTGATCATTACGAAAATAGTCATCATTCAGCACTTGAATGTCTGTTATCTGTTCCTTTATTTATCGAATGTCTATTATGTTCACTGAATCATTACAACTCAGACACGGGTGAATAAAAATACAAATAAAAGTAGGATTGTAAATTCATTTATTAAGATATGTGTTTAGAGAAACGGGTGTTTGTGAGTGAATAAGTAGGGGTTCAAGTACAACATCAAATGGCGTACATAGTTTTAAATAGAGGGACAAAGGCTAGAGTTGAAGAAAACTGGACGGTTGTAAATAGACACGGAGTGTCTCAGGGCACAGCCAAGAGAACTTGCGGCTGTGATTGGGACTAGAGTTGCTCAGAATCAGTTGGAGACGAATGGACGGCAGTGATTGGACCAGAAGTAGCTCAGAGTCAAGGTGGAGACGAATGGACGGCAGTGATTGGACTAGGAGTGGCCCAGAGTCACTGTACAGACGAATGGGAAGCTGTGAGTGGACTGGGAGTGTTTCAGGAACACGTACCTGTTTGACACGTAAAGCCGGTATATCCGTCCTCGCATCCAGTCAGACATCTGCCTGTGATATAATCACACACTCGACCATTCTGAGTGCCCCTCCGCCTGCAATTGAAACCGCAGATGCCTTCGCAATTGTATCCGTACGTGCCGGGCGGGCAGGCTGAAACAGTTGGACTTGTATATCTGAGCACCAACACCTGACAGTAACATTTACCACACTTATCTCTCCTGGTAATCCCAATTACGAGTAAAGTAAGTAAAGCAAAGGACCTTTTCTCCCTTTAGGCGTATAGGGCATATAGGGCATATAGGGATAGACCTAAATTCTATTGACCAATCGGAACAAGATGGGTGATGTGGTCAGCATCACACTGGCCGCCTTTACTTCCCGGCACTACACCTGTTACCCAATCAAGGCTGAGTCGACCTGGAAGCCAAAGTCATTTTTGTGTGGCTCTGCCAGGGAGTGAACCCCCGACCTTCCGACCCGCGTCTAGCCGCTCTGCCACGGTGACTCCCACAATTACCAGTACTATTGTTTTATTATTTGCATTATCATCATTATCTTCATCGGTTAAAAAACACCCAATAAATTGTTAGCATCGTCATCGGCAGTGTCTCAGCAGAAATTGCAACCAACACAATCGAGGTCGTAATCAAAACTCGGCTATCTTTCGAAAAAAACGGTCCTAAATTATCGAGGCAGAAAAAATATCCCAACAGGGCCCCAGTCACGTGTCAATTGCAAACTTCCGGTGACTATACCACCACCGCTAAATTGCGAACTTCCGGTGACTATACCGCCACTGCTAAATTGCGAACTTCCGGGGACTATACAGCCACCGCCGATAGTATCCTCAACCCGCGTTGACTGGGACTCACGAGCAAAAAAAAAAAAAATGAAGGAAGCTGTAGGAACTGCGGTAGCTGCTGCTCGTGAGTCCAAACCATCTAGTTAGGCCACAATCCACGCCGCGTGAGCGGCGTTTGGTATACACTCGGCGGTGGCGCAAGTCGCCAGAAGTGCGCAATTTAAGTCACCCGGAAATGCGCAATTGACATGTGACTGGTGCCCTGTTAGGTTATATTTTCTGCCCTATATAATTTGGGACCTTTATTCGGAAGATAGCCCAAAACTCCAACCGTAAAGACAGCAATTATTTAATTAGTTCATATATCACCAAAGTAGTCACAGTTCAGTCGTTGATTGTATGTTTTGTATTTCTTTGTTTATTGAAAATCTTTTGTTATCATTGAATCATCACTGCTTATCCGTCATATGTTCTTTCAGCCAGTGAATAGCAATTATCCCTTGCCTCAATGTTGGGAGGCTGCTGGGGTCAACTTCAGGCTGAAGCAAATCAGGCAGCATCTCAGGACACCACTTATATGCTCAGCCGTAAGACCTACCCTGACAGCTTTCTTAAGTCAAGTATGTCGTGATTATAACCACAGTTCAAGAAGACGAAGCTACAGTACAGTCAGCCCAGGGGTTATACAACACTCTGCAGACTGTCACGATGATTTTATTTGACCAAACGTTCGTACCTACAACCACTCACAACAAAACTAGCCAGTTGCAATTAGGCTAGCAGGAGAGAGGGACACTTTCCGAATTATACATGCTCGGTCTTGATATTGAATAATACACTGAAGTTTACAATCACAAGACTCACGATAATTTTATTTGACCAAACTTTCGTACCTACTACCACTCACAACAAAGGATGCAACAATGCATATCGTGATAAAATGTCATCACCACGCTGGAATGGCACATAAGAGCTTAAATCACAACACTTGGTCACGCATCTTTAGAATCAATTACAGGCGGCGCTCAGGGGAGGCAGACAAATATCACTGCGGTCACACAACCCATGAGCTGGCACACCGCCACGAGTGTCTACCCAAAAAAAAAAGTAAAGATCCCTTTTCACGCCTTTCGGCGCATCGGGCATATGGGCAGAGCGTCCCATATTTTTACAGACCATCAGCACTCTGTGGGTAATGTGGTCAGCATTACGCCGGCTGTCTTTACTTTCCCAGGACAGCCCATCCTGGTACCCATTTTATGCTGGGTCGACCTGCGACGTCCCATACCACGATAAAAATCCACGCAGCCTGCAGTGGGTTTCAATCGCGGTATGCTGGCTTACGAGTCGGACTCGCAACGCCTTAGCCACGGACGCCGAGTGTCTACTACAAGCCTAATAACCAGTTACACTTAGGCTAGCAGGACAAAGAGACACTTTCCGATTTATACATGCTCGGTCTTGATGTTGAATAATACACTGAATTTCACAGTCACAAAAATGATAAACTGGCAAGAGACTGCGCCAATTGCACTAGGTCTCCACGACGTACAATCGCGAGCCAGATCACCGAGAGGAGCACAAGCCCTGTCAGGAGGACAACTTCCTACCCAACTCAAAGCAA